TGAGTGATTGGAACAGCTGCTGCAGAGAGATCCATACAGGGGATTGGTTCCAGTAATTGCCCCCCCCCCCCCCCCCGCTATGCCGATCACCCTCCCTGCCCATATCTGATTCACCCAGCTGCTTGGGCCCCATACAGAAGGACCCGTGATACCCCCTTATCCACGGCCCTGCCAGTAGCCAACATACCCCCCACATCAGCTTATAAGTATATAAACATGGGCATTACAATCCACTGGCCACCAGTGTGTAACTTAGACTTTCATTGTGTTACCTCCTGGATGTGATCTGTCACTGGGTCACCTACGGTTCCATGTGTTCCATGTGAGTTCCCTTCTAGATTGTGAGCTCGAAAGAGCAGGGCCCTCGAACCCCTTGTGTATTGTACTGTTACTGTTTTGTCTCATGTTCTGTCCCCCTTGCTATTGTACAGCGCTGAGCAAACCCTTTGGCGCTATATAAATACTGTAAAATAATAATAATAATAAATGTGCTGCATTCAGAGTTTCTGCCTAAGACAACATTTTATAAATGGCATCATTAATTTTGCTGCATTCATTCTGATCCTAGTCCTGATAAATGTTAAATGATTATCAGTGATCTGAGTGTAAGGTATGACAAAGATGTATCTGTAGCAAGAGAACAGAAAACACATGGAAGAGGTAGGGAGCTGGATTTCTTTTCTTTATATGTGCATGCCTTTTGAGTGAAAATTGTGTGTTTTTAGTGAAAATAAAAAGGAGAAAAGTGGGGAGCACTAGAATACAGTCCCAGATGTTTAATCCAGCAATGAACATGTATCTGTATACATGTATATAAACAGGGTAAAAATTAAATTAAATTCCATAAAAGCTAGAGGATTAAAGCATACCAGCAATGTCCTAGTAAGTATGCGTCCAAGGATGAGAGAAGCCTCCTTATTATATGTGGGTATTGGGGTAGAAGGTCAGAGCAAGCTTGTATAACAGTGTAAATTTGCTGTCCCCTCAAAATAACTCAACACACAGCCATTAATGTCGAAACCGCTGGCAACAAGAATGAGTACACCCCTAAGTGAAAATGTCCAAATTAGGCCCAAAGTGTCAATATTTTGTGTGGCCACCATTATTTTCCAGCACTGCCTTAACCCTCTCAGGCATGGAGTTCACCAGAGCTTCACAGGTTGCCACTGGAGTCCTCTTCCACTCCTCCATGACGACATCACGGAGCTGGTGGATGTTAGTGACCTTGTGCTCCTCCACCTTCCGTTTGAGGATGTCCCACAGATGCTCAATAGGGTTTAGGTCTGGAGACATGCTTTCAGACAGATATAACTTTCTTTTGGTGGTATTTAATCAGCAGGTTATTTAAATTTTTTGGTATAGAAATTAAAAGAAATCAGTGTACAATATTTAGTCTGGATGAAAGTTATATAGTGTACAAGCTATGGTATATATTTGTATGTTTGAAAATTGATCAATCCTGATGTACTGACAGCCTAATTTCTTGATACCCTACAATGCCAGGACAGAACAACCCCCCCCCCCCCCCAATGGAAAGTACTTTTGCAAACTAGACAGTCTAAGGTATTTAGTAAGAGTCATGACAAGTTTTTCGAAGTTGTAATTTTTTGTAACAATTTTTTGAAAAACCAAGAAATGAAATAAAATGTGTTTCTTTTCACAATTGTTTTTACATACTGTCACCAGTGCAGTACAGCATCTGGTGTGGTGGTGATCAGGGATACTAACTGATGATCACTGTTATAAGCAAGCATTTTTATGGATGACATTAATTTATTCATTCACAGGGTGTACTATTATGAAAGCTGTGATTGGCCACAGCTATCACATGGTACATATACTATGTGATTGGCTCTGTCTATACCATTTGAACACTGTGACCAATCACAGGTATCGTCATAACAGTACACAATGAATGGCTATGAGTGAAAAACCTTTATTGTGTGAAACTGTCATGTGATCACTGTAATTGGTCAAAGCGATCACATGGTACTTGGACCAGCCCAGTACAATAATCTGTCATCTACTGTTTCCCATAGGGTGTGCACAATGTGCGTGACTAGGAGAACGTCATATGACTTCCACCCAGAACCAGAAAGCTCCCACTCGGCCATCACTTGTCTGCAGGCTGTAGTTAAATTGTGACACCACTCATGCCCTGCACTCACAGTATCTCCTCAGTCTTCCCAGGTTCAGTGACACTGGATGTCAATCAACCCAAAAGCCTAAGGACGTCTTGTGGGGGAAAAAAAAAGTACTGCAGGGGACAACTTTGGATTGAAGGTGAGTACTACAGCCTTAGGAGGAGGGGTCTCTTTTAATTTGAATATGTTTGCCCAAAGTTTAGGTTTAAAGTTTATTTTCAGTGACTTATTCACAGGCAAAGTACAGGCAGAAATCAGATCCCCATTTATAGAGTTACTGTGCATATATGCAAACAGTGCTTTCAACTTCAGCTGCATAGGCAGGGTTTCTGGCAACTTCATAAATCTCAGGTATATCTTCAAATCTACTACCACACAAAAAAAACATTCTCTATACCAAAAACTTAGTTTCAAATAATAAATTATAGTTTATAGCTGAACTCCAATGAGGCACCTAAATAAATGATATGTACTCTTACCTAAGGATTTGTAATATGTTCTGACACTTTTGTGTTTCGAACATTTCTCTTCTACAGCAGCAGCAAATCTTCATCATGGACACTAGTCAAGCCTGCTGGCAGGAAATAAAGAAGACGCAGCACACTGATACGGTCATCCCTCTTCCCATTCTTCTTTCTCTGCCCATCATCATATGTACATCTGTTTTCAATTTTGGATTGTCTGGACTTTTAGTCTACAGTCCTGACTGTTAATACAATTGTCAGCAAAGGTAACATTTTTATATCAATCTATCTTTACATTTATTTTGATTTTCTGATAATCTGATTGTTAATACACAGCTTTCAAGAGCCAAACAAGGCAGTTTAGGCGAAATTATCCAAAGGGACAAGCACGAAAACGATTCTCGTACGATACCTGAATGAATGGTTTTGATTAACTGCTTTCCGGCCACCCTATAGCAGAAATACTGCTATAGGGCGGCAGGGCTGCGCAAAACCACATATATATACGTGATTTTGCATTTCCATTGATGGCCAGATCTCTCCCCTGTCAGCTTCTGCACATTGCTCTGTATTGCTCTACATAGCAGAGCAATACAAAGCGATGTGATGACACAGTGAAAGACATACACAGCACACAGTTAACCCTTTGATTGCCCCAGATGTTAACACCTTCCTGCCCAGTGCCATTAGTACAGTGTCAGTTCTTTTTATTAGCAATGATAACTGTGTTAGTGACACTGGGGATGTCAGTGACAGTCAGTTCCCCCTAGTGTCAGAATGCCCTCCGCAGTCCCAATATAAGTCGCTGATCGCCGCCATTACTAGTATAAAAAAAAATTCCAGTATATAATGCCATTTGTAGATGCTATAACTTTCACATAAACCAATTAATTTACACTTACTGGGATTTTTTTTTTTTTAATTTTAAAATTTTTTTATTGGACTTTTTTTTTTTTAACAGTTGCATTTATTGAAATTGTAAAGTGGTACAGACAATCAAAGGTATTATTGGACATGTTTAAGAGCAAAAAGTCACAAATATTGTTTATTTTTTCGTTTATAGTGCAAAAAATTAAAACCGCGCAGATCAAATACCCCCGAAAGAAAGCTCCATTTGTGGAAAAAAAAGGACAAATTTAATTTGGGTGCAGTGTTGCATGACAGCGCAATTTCCAGTTAAAGTAATGCAGCTCCGTATCGTGAAAAATGGCCTGGTCAGGAAGGGGGGCAAATCCTCTGGAGGGCAAGTGGTTGATCAGTACAGTATTTGTCCAAAAAAAACCAAATGACCAAGACCACTCATGCTTGGAAACGAAAGAATACAATACATTACATCACTTCCTAAGTTGTATTCTGTCCTAAGAGAATGTTCGTAACCTCTTAATTTTTGATATGAGACTAGCATGTGAAAAAAAACGGACAATCATTCATCTGATATTCTCATCGTGTGTACTAAGCATAACAGATTCCCCCAGTTCCCCTTACACTGAGACAGTATTGTCACTGCGTAGATCTATAGACCTCAGGTAAATGTGACATTGTTCCTTGACTTGCTGCCTCACCCATGTCATCATTGTACTGGAACAATGAATACACTGTTCCCTTGGTGTCAGAGCACAACCTGAAAGAAGAGATAAATAGTACTGCAGAAGCAGGTGTTGAAGGAGAACACTGTAGGAATGGAATACAAGTACTGCATTATGACTTTCATTGTGTGGTGGCATTTAAATCTCCAGCAATTCTGAATAAAGCAAACCGATGTTGAACAGTTTGTTCTAGGCATGACTACAATGACACAGAAGATCTCAGATTAGAACAGGTATACTACAAGATTCAAGCCAGCCTTACACCACAGTATAAATAATGGCTGGCCCAATCTGACCTTGCATACAATTCCTTTGTCTATTGGTTTCATATGCTGTAAAAATAAAATGGGTAGAGCCCATTCATACTGCATTGTGCCGGCATGACATTGTGTGTTGAGTACTGTGTTAAAGCAGCCTATTCATTTTGAACAGACTGCCAGCATACTTTAAAGTAAACAAATATGAATATGGCCCTTTTTTTCTTAGCCCAGTGCACCACAATGCACAACGTATAAATATGTGCAAATTATATAATGTTCCAAAATCCACAAACTTTCTGTATTTTATTCACAGGTCACATGTGTTTCATCCTGATCTCTATATCTTCTAATTATTTCATAAAGAATCTTTTTCCATCGTTCCAACTCCATCTCCTTGAATTCTCTCAGTCTGGGAAGGATAAAAGTATAAAATATAATGCAGTAGTCTAAGGCTCCGTTCACACCAATGCGTGTTTTTTTTTAGTGTTTTTTGCAGAAACCACTACAGTTCATTTAATGTGGTTTCCTATGGAACATGTTCACCAGGCAATGATGGGCATTGACAGGCATCACTGATGGGCACTGATAGGCGGCACTGATTGGCAGCACTGACTGGCATTGATAGGTGGCACTGAAAGACAGCTCAGATGGGCAATGATATGTGGCATTGATGTGCACTGGTAGGCACTGATATGTGGCATTGATGGACACTGACAGGTGGAACTGCTGGGGCTACACTGATCATCAGGGCACACTGATCATCAGTGCCCTGATTATCAGTGTACATGTCCCCTCTGAGGAATGCCGATTACCGGCTCTCCTCTCGAGCTGTCAGCGTGACAGTTCGTGAGGAGAAAAATGCCAATAACCGGAATTTCCTTAGTTACATGTGATTAGACACAGCTGATCACATGACAGAGCCAACGTCTTCGGCTCTTTCCATTGATCGGTGATCCACTGTGTCCCAGGGACACAGTGCACCAGCGATCGCTGCGCGTCCCCAGGGGCGCGCACACGCGGTTAGAGTGGGAGGACGTCATATGACATCCTCCCAGAACGAGAGAACCGCCTTGCGCCCGTCATTTCCTTATATGGTGGGCGGAAGGTGGTTAAAAGCAAAAAGTAGCATTTTTGCTACAACAGAGTTCAATTGAGAATCTGCTGAAATGCATGATAGTGCGTTTTTTCCATGTTTTGCATTCATATTCTGCCCAGCGGAAAAAAAAATCCCCTTTATGAAACAAAAAAAAATCTGAACAAAATGCAAAACGCAGTAAAAATGCATAAAAAAATGTGTGTAGAAAAACACAAAACGAACTGCGAGAAGCACTGTAAAAGGGACAAAAGCAAACTGCATAGGTGTGAATGGAGTCTAATACAGCTTTGTTAAAAAGAAGAAAAAAAAACATATAATTGTGCATACATTGTATAAGTGAACCAAGCACTGATAAACAGCGTGCAAGTATGAAAAGCCACTTAGGGGCCAAACGAAAACTCTGGGCACTTTCAGCTCTATTAGCAGTTATTCCCATGCTCATCTCCCTACACTGTCAGGGTGGGTACCATGAACAAGCACATCACATAACCTGTCTAACCTCAGTCTATGCATTTAATTGAAAGCTTTTATCAGGAGCATAAGCAGGATTCAGGTGATGCTTATGCAGAGTCCAATGGAGAGCCTATACGGACAGCAGTCTTTCCTTACGTGCTGTTTATCATAGTGCTTGGTGCATTTATGTGATGTAAACTAAACTGAATGGGTTTTTTATGTTGTTTTATAAAGCAGTATTGGATTATACTTTATGTTTTTACACTACTCACATTGACAGTATTCATAGAGATGAGTTGGACTAATGGAAAATAGTTTTTTTCTGAAATAACTGAATATTTTTATTTGAATGTTTTTTTGTTCTGAGAGATCTGGAGATAATTGTGAAAATGTGCAGCTTCATAATTTGAGGTCTGTCCCATCTGGTAAGTGAGCCTTTCTGAAGGTGATGAAAGATAACATAGTTGGAGTACATTTGATGTGGATTTTAGAACACATGTGGGACTGTGGATAATTTACCTGGCTAAAGGTGGTAGATCCATTTCCAAGGACATTTGGTGTATGACATTTTTCGTACAAACATTTTGCCTTTTTATTTTAAACTGAATAGGTTATTTTACAAGGTGAGGGTTCATAAATACTTTAACCACTTGACCTACAGAAGGTTTTACCCCCTTCATGTCCAGACAATTTTTTTGCTATTCGGCACTGCGCTACTTTAATTGGCAATTGTGTGGTCATGCAACAGTGTAAGCAAATTAAATTGATATATTCACACAAATGGAGTTTTCTTTTGGTGGTATTTGAATACCACTGGGTTTTTTTTAATATATACATGAAAAAAAAAGATATTTTCGAATTTCTGTTATAAAACATATCCAATCTAATTTCTTCATCCAGTGCATTGAAAAAAGTATTCATACCCCATGAAATTTTCCACATTTTGTCATTTTACAAATCAACCAAAAAGGAAAATGTATTTTATTGGAATTTTATGTGATAGACAACACAAAGTGGCACAAATTGTGAAGTGGAAGGAAAATGATAAATGGTGTTCAACATTTTTTACAAATAAATATCTGGAAAGTGTGGCGTGCATTTGTATTCAGCCCCCGAGTCAACACTTTGTAGAACCACCTTTCGACGCAATTACAGCTGCAAGTCTTTTTAGGGATTTCTCTACCAGCTTTGCACATCTAGAGAGTGAAATTTTTGCCAATTCATCTTTGCAAAATAGCTCAAGCTCTGTCAGATTGGATGGAGAGCATCTGTGAACAGCAATTTTCAAGTCTTGCCATAGATTCTCAATTGGAATTAGGTCTGGACTTTGGGCCATTCTAACACATGAATTTGCTTTGATCTAAACCATTCCATTGTAGCTCTGGCTGTATACCTAAGGTCATTATCCTGCTGGAAGGTCAACCTCTGTCCCAGTCTCAATTCTTTTGCAGACTCTAACAGGTTTTCTTCTTAGATTGCCCTGTATTTGGCTCCATCCATCTTCCCATCAACTTTGACCAGTTTCCCTGTCCCTGCTGAACATGCCATACAACATGATGCTGCCAACATCATATTTCACGGTGGGGATGGTGTGTTCAGGGTGATGTGCAGTGTTAATTTTCCACCACACATAGCTTTCTGCTTTTAGACCAAAAAGTAAAATTTTGGTCTCATCTGACCAGAGCACCTTCTTTCACATGTTTGCTGTGTCCTCCACATCGCAAACTGCAAACGGGACTTCTTATGGTGTTCTTTCAACAGTAGCTTTCTTCTTGCCACTCTTCCATAAAGGCCAGATTTGTGGAGTGCACGTTTAATAGTTGTCCTGTGAACAGATTCTCCCACCTGAGCTGTGGATCACCGCAAGCTCCTCCAGAGTTACCATGGGCCTCTTGGAAGCTTCTCTGATTAATGCTCTCCTTGCTCAGCCTGTCAGTTTAGGTGGACGGCCATGTCTTGCTAGGTTTGCAGTTGTGCTATGCTCTTTCCATTTTCGGATGATGGATTGAACAGTGATCCATGAGATGTTCAAAGCTCAGGATATTTTTTTAAATCTAACTTTGCTGTAAACTTCTCCACAACTTTATCCCTGACCTGTCTGGTGTGTTCCTTGGCCTTCACGATGCTGTTTGTTCACTAATGTTCTCTAACAAACCTCTGAGGACCTCACAGAACAGCTGTATTTCTACTGAGATTAAATTAAGCAAAGTTGGACTATTTACTAATTAGGTGACTTCTGAAGGCAACCGGTTTCACTAGATTTTAGTTAGGGACATCAGAGTAAAGGTGGCTGAAAACAAATGCACACCACAATTTTCAGATATTTGTAAAAAATTGTGAAAACCATTTATCATTTTCCTTCCACTTCACAATTTCCACTTTGTGTTGATCTATCTGCGCTCTCCCAACTGAGCTATTTCAGCATATTGCAAAAGAGCAAGCCAACAAATGCGTGGCACCATGTACCAATACAAAGGGGTCCCAGAGACCTTAAAGGAAATCTAAAGTCCCAGCCTACAGTTTTATTTTAAAACATCAGCATGGTAATGGCAATGACAAACCAATGTAAGCTTGCGTCAGTAACCTCCTTTTATGTTGTGATTGCTGCCTCTCTGCTGACCATCTATTTCCACAACTTCCTGGATTTCCTGCATGGTGTTCAGCTTCTTCTCTACTGTTTACTTTCATTTTCTAAGGACTACAGCTCTCATGGTACCTTGCTACCTGCAAGCTGTGATTCCTGTACTGACTCTGCCTCCTGAAACTACTCCTCTCAGCAACTCTGTACGTTGGAAATCAGACTCTGTGAAATGTGTGACACAGCAAAGTCTACTCACATCGCACTGTGAATACATTTCACTGAAATCAAAAAAGAAAATGTTAGTGGATCTTCACAGTCAGTTTACAATATTCAAGATTGTTCACATTAATACGAGTAGGCTAGAAATCAATGAAATACGTTGTAAACGTTGGAAAGCAATATATGGCTTTACATTTTAACCATAGATAGAGGTTTTGAGGAGTCCAAATACACTGCTCTAAAGAAGCCTTAAACCAAAGGACCAGAGTGAAGGAAAATGCTCTAAGTGTTCTCTTTTCGGAAGGAATCCTATCTAACTGGTAACCATCTTGCTTTTTATCTGACGTAGCCATTTGGAGCCAATTTCCCTGAAAAAGTGATACAATTTGTAATCTTTCTTCACTTTAAAACTTTGATTTTCATCTGATGTAGCCATTTTGACCCAATTTTCTTGATAAAAGTGATACAATCATACTGCTTTCTTCACAATAAGGTGAAAGGCAAAATAAAAATTTACTTGCATGTATACGGTGTTGTTTGGGACCCTGCAACAGGTGTGACTCCTGAAGGAAACTGGTTGAATAAGTAATCTTGCCTTTTCTAGGAAAGAGTGGTCATGCTTCTCATTTTGTCTGTATGGAAGAAGAAGCTGCCTGCAACCTGAGGAAGCTGAGAATCTTCAGCTGTGCAATTGTACCTTTTGTCATGGAAGTCATTTCGGGCCTTGAAGATACTTTTTCTGACTTGCTTCTGTTTTTCTGTTTTTTGTGTTGTTGTGATACAACAATACAAAGAAGAAAATGTATTGGATTTTATTCATCCCATGGTTCAAAAAGTTCTATTTACTTGCATCAAGTTATCACAGACTAGTTTTGGCGGTGGTGTGATTTTTAGTATCTTTCTAAGCCAGCTAGGTCTTATTCACCCCGGAATGCATTTAATAAGTTGGTTTGCTCAACTGTTCACTGCCATTCCTTTCGGACACATTGCATTTCTTCTGTGAAGCAGACTCTTCCAGTTGGTTTGATTGGCATAATGCAGGTGAGGGCCGCAACAATGCAACATGTCAAAAAAAATTTTCCCCAAGGTTTTCCAGCACTATGTGGTGGTGTTACCTGGTCCTATTGAGAATAGATTTTTGACATGTCCTTGCACGTTGGCTGAGAAAACCATAAACTGCAAGAAGTTGTACAATTGCTTTTCTGCTGAGCCCAAGACCCTAATATGCTCTGAACCAGATTCTAAACCTTGGTCTTGGTCTGCAGAGTCTTGCCAGGAAGCGTTACACCAAAAGAAGCACAGGCAGTTGCCGAAACCCGTGATTGAACCTGGGACCTTTAGATCTTCAGTCTAACACTCTCCCAACTGAGCTATTTTGGCCTATTTCATGAACTTGTTTTAGCAATTGTGGCTTACCATAAGTTGGTGTGACAGGAGCCTATGGAGAATTTACATTTTTATGTCTATGCATATTGCCAGAAAAGAGAAAAGGGAGCAAGATTCATGACTAAATTGCCAGGGAGACTAAGCCACTGCTCTGTTATGAGCAACAGACAAGTGAGAAGTGAAAGCATGAAGTATACGCTAGCCCGATTGAGGGAAAACAACAGCTCACAGATGAGTGGATTCTCCTTAAACCTAA